AAAATACTATTTCCCAGAGGTTGAAAGGATAATTGAGACAGGAAAGAATGATGATGTACATGAAATTTAGATAGAATTTTTAGGCAGCACTTCAAAGTGGTTATTAAAATAATCTGTGGTTCCAGTTGAGGATAATTAAAAAAATCAGCTCACCAATTTTTTCTCTTAAGGAAATTAAAAGTGCCTGCTACAATATTTCAAAGAAGGAAGAAGAAAAATGGTGGATTAGGTGGGATGGTACACGTTAATATCTCACAAGATAAGGACTCCATGAAGGAGCTCAGCAGGAAAAGACCTGCTGAACCTGTGGAAGTACTCATCACATGGATCAAGGGATACGACTGTTTCTTTACTTTGAAATGTTTAGATCTTTAAAAATAAAATATTATTTCTTATAATCTTAAGAGAAACTCCCCATGAAACATGAATCAGAGTTTAATAATTAAAACGGTCAAGAACACTTGAAATTAGTTGACTACCCATTGTGTGTAAGTTAGAGGAATTTATATTCCCTCTTTTACATAGCTTATAAACTGAATTCATTGAAAAGAATGATTTCAATAAATAAAATAAAGAAGATTGCTAAAATTTTCATGGGGAAAATTTCACCTTTTGGGAAGGTGAAATTTTGGGAAGGCTCAACCTTTGGACTTTGATTTGAATATGAATTATAATTCTGTATTTGTTAGCTATCTTTTTATTACATAACCAACAGCACTATCCATTTATGGTTCAAACCAGCAGTAAGCATTTATTCTTTAACACTTTTTTATGGCTCAGGTAAGTTAGAAGTGGTTTAGTTAGGTGGTTCTGGCTTAGAGTCTGTCATGAGTTTGTACTCTAGGTATCAGCTGGGGCTGCTGCTGCTGCTGTCAGAGGGTTTGACTAGGGCCAGAGGATTTATATCTGAGAAGGCTTCTCTTATGTGGGCATTGCTGGGGCCTCAACTACTCACCATAGGGAATTTTCCATAGGGTTGCCTGAGTGCCTTAAGAGCAATAGCTATATTCTCACAGAATGAATGAGCCCATAATGCCAAGTCAAAAAAAAAATGCAGCCTCCTAAATTACACTCCTTCATTTTTATAATCTTATTGTATATACAAGTCAGTCCTATTCAGGGGCTGGAGAGATGGCTCATCAGTTAAGGGCACTGACTGCTCTTACAGAGGACCCGGGTTGATTCCCAGCTAACAACCATCTGAAACTCCAGTTCCAGGGGATCTGACACCCTCTTCTGGCCTCCAGGGACATTGAATGACATGAGTGCACTTACACATGTAGACAATACACTCATACACATAAAATAAAAATGATAAATAAAATATTATAAAATCAAAGTCAGTCCTACTCAATACAGGAGGAAACTATGCCAAATAAATAATACTGCAAGGTGCTATTTGTTGGGGAGAGCATCTCAGAATGAGTGCTTCATACAGCACTCATCCCTACTATAGGGTCAAACATTTGGTTTCTGGCCTGGTAAGCAAAAAGTCACAGGAAAATGGTGTACTATTTGGGGGTCTATGAGACCACCTTCTTTCCATTCTCAGTTTGTCTTTAGGCAAGTAGTCAAAAATCACATGGCTATAGTCTTTCTCTGGGAATCTGATCTGAAGTTTTCCAGTAGAAAGATAAAGGTTGGTCAAAGTACTTGCAAATTACTTTCATAGGCCTTCATTCATTTTCTTACATGTTTTAAAAATAATTTTATATAATCTGTTACAATAGTAAAGTCTTTTAAGGGAGTATTATTGTGGGATTATAATTTTAAAGTTTAATTCTCTTCTTTCCTATCTTGTTCTTTTGAGAGTTTTATGACAAGATGATTCCTGGAAAGTGTTATTTCTATGACCTGTACGTA